TCTCTCTCTCTCTCTCTGTGTCACACACACACACACACACACACACACACACACACACACACAGACAGACTACCCTCGCAGACACACAACACGCACACGCGTGAGTGCACGCCCGACTCCTCCCCTCAGTCTCTCTCTCACACACAACGCCAACATGTGCACGCTACTCTCTCTCTCTCTCTCTCTCTCTCTCACACACACACACACACACACACACACACACACACACACACACACTGTGCTCACCCTCTCCATCAGACACACACACACACACTGGCATACTTGTATAGATTATATCTGCTATACTTGCATAGATTATATCTGGTATACTTGGATAGATGTCATGTATTCTGGTCTCAGTTTGCAGACTTGTTACGCGCTTATCAAGAGACTCCGAACTGAGGTAGAGGGAGGGATGGCTCAGGCGAGATTTGGACCAGAGACCTGGCCTAAGTGTGAATCTTATACATGTGATGACCCGACCAACCACGGACTGAGACACACAGCTGATTTCTGAGTTTTGCTCATGGACTGAATGCCTTGCTGAGGTTCCCGCTTGCTACTATGTTCTCTAAGTCTGTGTGGGCACGCTTGCTGGTCTGCATGTCTGTCTGAGTGCTTGTTCGCTTGAGTGTGTGTGTGACCCGCAAGGGCACTTGTTCGTTCATTGGCCCCTCCGGGCCGGTACTGACCTATGGCCGTGACATTGAGGGTTGCAGTGGGGAAAAAACTGAAGTGGCAGGGGAAGAGGCCCGCAACACTTGAAGCAGCGAGGAAACACTCAAGTAGCAGGTAGGCCGGTACCACACCCCGAAGAGGTAGATGTGCCGGGTACTCGAGGCCGGGCAGAAGAAGACAAAAGTTGGCATTTTTAGAGGCCCAGTAGTTGTAGGCTAGGTCTAGGCAGGTACCACTCCAACCAGTCTGAGTCCAGGGCCTGTACGGGCAATATCAAAGTCTGCAATGATTTTTCCCTCCGAAAGGGAGGAGGTATCGGTTGCTTGGAAGGTCGAGCGGCCTGGAAGTCACCGCCCAAGAGGCAAGCAGGCCGCGACATCTCCAGGCCAGGCGAAGAGCCCAGCCTCATTGTCGGTGTGCAAGTTTGGCGACACACAGGTTGGAGTGCTGGCTGGAGCAGCGCTGCTGGGGAAGGAGCAAGGACGCAGAGGAGGAAGGAGACCAGGAGGAAGGGGGACGCCAGAGGTACTTACCTGGCTATGGTGGCAGCCATCTTCATCACCTTGGGGGCTGCTACAGCAGGAAGGCCCCAGCTGGGGTAGAGCTACACCAAGAAGCTTCGAGGCGGAGCTAGGCATGGCGGCCTGAGCTAGACCAGCCATAGCTGCTTTGCGTTGTCCTTTGGACATCAGAGACAAGCCCAAGTAGTCCGCCATAGCCTCCGCCTATGAGAGTGAAGAGTGAGGGAAGCGGCCATGGCTATGGTGGACCTCAAGTACCTGCAGTAGAAGAGGGATTTGGACTTTGATTCTGGTTCAGCCATTCAACATTGTATTATTATATCTTGTGTGAATAAGAGAAGAGATAAGGAGGAGGAGAGTCATTGGCGAAGAAGAAGAGCTTTATCATTTGTCTATGCTGGTGTGCATCATCTTCTTCTTCTACATTTCTTCTTCTGTCTTCTTACCCTCTCTCTCCTCTCAAGTTCATTCATTTCTTTTTGCAATTGGACGGCATTGTACTATCTGATGAATGTGTACTTCGAAATTGGCCAGGATCATAACATAGAACTATTTACTGTGTTTTTCATGTTTGCTGCCACTCAGATATGATCCAGGGACCTCCAAGGAACAATACTGTTGGCTTCTTGGACACATAGAACCCTGTAGGATCTAGACATCTGAAACTTTCCAAGCCATAGCCCCGTAGGACCCCATAGACCCAGGCAAAATCAGCACAATAAATGTAACGAGCTAGGAGTGGAATTCATTCAGTTTCAGTTTGTGCTTTTCCTGAGCTGACAAGGAGGAGCAGCACCGCTAATTTTTGGCAGTGGAAAGAGAAAGTCTGGGTGAGCCATACCAGTGTCTTCTGGCTCTATACTGCACGATTCTGAGCGTCATTTGTTGTAAGCTGCTCAGTGCAGCCTGGCGCCCAAGTGTACATCACCGTTTCTCAGTTTTTGTCAAATATGCTGTCATGATTCCTCAGTACACGCTCCGTGTGAAGCTTTCTCGTAGTTACCACCAATTGTAGCTTTCACAATATTGTCTTCCAATCGGCTGGTTTACCGATGGCAATTTTTTAACAAAACTGGTATCATCCTGTTTGGGCTTGCGTGTGATGAGAAATGAGATCGCCTGTATGTTGTAAGCAAAGTGTAAATATGTCAAACTGATAGAATCCGGCTCCATGTTTCTCATACTGCCTTCTTTTTTTGCCTAAAAGAAACAGAAGAAACGAACATGAATGTGCTACTTTTCGGCTGTTGCATGGGAGATTGTTAATGGAAGACAGAAAATTCCGTGTTTTTCAGCGTAGC